TCTCTCTCTTCTATGTCTAGCACAGTTGGCAATGCTCCGCATCTACAGTGTTACCTCTCTCTTCTTTATCTAACTCAGCCTAAGACGCTCAGCATCGACTGAGTCATCTTCCTTATCTTTGCCTAATACAGTTCGCGACACCTAGCGTCATCTGTGTTTTCTCTCTTCCCTCATATTCTTCTTTTTCTTTCTTTCTCTTTCCACTCCTTCTTTCTTTTCTCTTCTTCTCATATCTGATTCTTCATATGTTTTTTCTTTATGATATCTGTTATTCTTTCGTTTGATTAAAGAGGGTTTGAGATTAGCCTATCATGGTAGTCCTATCATCTGGCCGTAATGTCGTTGTGTCAGAATTATTGTGCCAGCTTTATTGCCACGACAGACTAACCATCGTGTCTAGCTAGTCAGTATCGGCATTGACGTCTAGTAGTAATCATGTTGAGCCAGTCTGAGTTATCGAGCCCGTTTTACCACCACATCAGGCCAATTACTCATCAGCTTAGTCATTGTGTTGATCTCCTGGTCTGGTCAAATTCTTCTCTCCCCCATCTTTCTTCTCTCATTCTTCTCTTGTTCTTTTGAATGTTGCATGCTTGTGTACGTTAACCATAGAGGCAAGGTGAGGTCTGTTGAACCACCTGTCTTAAAATATTTGCCACATGTGTGTGATTACAGAAAACTGGAGAATACAAGTCAAGGGAGGCGACTCCGAGCCAGTTTTATTACTGGGGGCTTTGTTCGTGATCTACTACGTGAGCCAGCCCGAGTAAGTCCTGAACCCACGTTAGATTCCTCTCTCATCGGTTGGTAATACTTGCCTTTGTTTTTGAACGAGGTTCCCGATAGAGCGATCTCAAAAGTCTCGGGTCTCCTCGAAACCCGAGACACGTGCCGCCCGATCATCCAGATCCGAAGAGCACGAGATCGTGGCACCTAACCATATTGTGAAATTTTTTCAGAGTAATCGCAACCGTATTGTTCATATATATAGCATGAGTAGTTGGAAGTGTGTAGTCATAGATAAATTCGCCTTTTGTAACTTTTCTCTATCAAAATTGTATATTTGGACTTTCATGTATTTATAAGCTGTGAAATAGACTTTGTACAAAAAGCTTTCAAATGGAAAATTTGTTTGGAACAATATATATATATATATATATATATATATAGGAAAAAAATTCGAATTTGTTTTGATTCATTAAGAACATACTATCACTTCTCAAAAATTTTAGTGTTATAAAGCTTGGGGTGTGACACTCAGTGACTATTTTTCTCTTATGCGGTTGCTTTTGTAATCTTTGCGCTTCTCTCTCTTATCTAGATACTTGAGAGTAGTATTCTGAGCAGCATCAGTTTGGTTCTCCTATCTTAGTTTAACTACATAACTAGTTGCACTTCAATATAATTTTCATTTAACATTTTGTCCATTTTGTACCCCATTTTATGATTTCTATAGAGGGTTCAATGCTAGTTTAACAAGAAGCGGAACAAAGACAAAAAGGCTTAGGCCAATTAACATGTTTGGAGGCTTTGCTACTTTCTGCCCTAAGCTTTGGCCTCTGGATTGCGGTTGTCTCACTTTTGTCTATCCCCAACCCTAGGAGCCTTTTGAAGGGAGGCATATCATGTGTATAAAACTTTGCATTGATTAAAAATGTGGTATAGTTGGTCTCACTTTACCTATCCCCAACCCTAAGAGCCTTTTCCTATTTTCTTTTACTTATATTCAAGATATGTTTCCTAATATTATTAGCAATTAGTGAAGGATGATATTTTGGAGATATCTTAGTAGTTAATGAGTTCCTTTTAGGTAACGGGTTCCTTCTAGTTAGTCAAGCCTTTTAGGATTTGTAATTTTTCTTTTTTAATTTCCACATTTTTATCAGGAGTATCTTATGAATTCAAATGAGGATAAATGGCCATTATGTGTTCTTTCTTGTGGTGGTAGTTGATCCCTTGTTGGATGACATTGGTTTTTCTTTTATAAAATGGGTTTCAGTAATGCAAAATATAGGACATTTTCGATGTTAAATACCATGAAAATTTGGTAATAAGGTGCCTGTCAATGGCAAGTTAATGAAAATAGTGGTAAAAAAAATTTCACTTTTCTTTCGCTGGTTTGGATTCATTTTTTGAGATTAATGAGAGATCTGTAATGGTAATCTCCTTGGGGGTACATTGGCTTCACGTAGGTGATGGAAACTGTTGATCTAATGTCATGTGAAACATGATTTTATAGTTTTGTCTATCTAATATAAGAATCCTCAATGATTGCATATCAATTGTGTAATTTGACGAAATCTACTGAGCATGATGGAAATTTGTGCAGGATGAATGCTTAGCATAGTCCAATTTCTTGTGTGTAATGAATGCATAGTTTTATATCTTGTTTTATAGAGAAATTTATCAAAATACACCTAATATATTAATTATTTAATATTTTACCCATTTTCAACTATTCCAACTCATGGTCATGCTATTTTTGTGGACCTTTTGAAAGAAAATAAAAAAATATGGGTAAAATGTCAAATAAATAATCTCTTCGGTGCACTTTGATAAATTTTTCATTCTAGATAATTGTTTTGCATAATTCATGAATTTAAGAAAGATCTTTAATGAAAGGTTATCGTTTCCTATTTTCATTTCTTACTCCACTTGCAGCATTAATTGGTTTGCATATTTTTCCTGGCTTAATAGTTGAGAACTAGAGATATGCAGATCTTCTTTAATTTTTGTTGATTGTTAAGATGAAGTTGTGTCTTGTTCTTTCTTTATAGTGCTGACTATTTCTTGTTTGTGGAATGCCATTTCTGTTTTCTTTGTAAAATTGAATTATATAAATGAAAAAAACAAAGGAAAGAAGAAGGTTCATATTGATCAATACATACGATCTGGAGATTGACATGTTTATAATTAAACCTTATTGTTTGTAAAATTAAATTATATAAATGAAAAAAAAAAAAAGTTTCATATGGAACAATTTATACAATGTGGAGATTTGACATGCTTGTAATTTAAGGTATAATTCATGAACTTCACACAGTTTGACAAAAACCTATTGCTAACTAGTATGATCCAAGATTAAAAGAATTACAGTTTGGTTCGTGTTATAATAGTTATTTTAGTTTCCCCTCTACCTTGTTTTAAACAAACCCACTAAGACTATTGTAACAGTAAAGGACAAGGGTTATTATGCATCACAGTGACATCTCGCAATCTTTGTAGGACCCATCTAGAATTTAGATCATCATCATCATCATTTCAACATTTTTTCAATTACTTGGGGTTGGCTACATGAATCATGGTTCTACATTATGTTTTATTAAAGGCCATATCCTCAAAGGTCATAAGTCTCCATATCTTTTTGTACTACTTTCATCCACGTTCTTATGGGCCTACCCATTGTCCTTCTCAATCCTTCCACTTGAATTAACTCGTACCTCCTAACAGGTGTTGTACTTAGTCGACGCCACACATGGCCAGCCCACCTAAGTCTAGTCTCTCTCATTTTATCGCCTATTGGTACCACACATAAATTCTCTCGAATCAATTCATTTAGAATTCTATCACATCTTGTCTTGTCACTCATCCATTTCAACATCCTCATCTCCGCTATTCTCATTGTATAGGTATATTGTTTTTTGTCCACCCAACACTTTCCGCCCCATAGAACAAAGTTGGTCTCATCGCTATCCTATGGACCTTGCCTTTCTGCCTCATTGGTATGTGGCGATCACATAAAATTCCAGTTGCATATCTCCACTTTGCTCACCCAACTCTAATTCTATGCGCGACAGCTTCCTCGATCACTCCATTTTCCTGGATTCTCGACCTAGTCTTTTTTGTATTTCCTTACCGTCAATCTTAACTACTTCCTCGTCTCTACTCTTATTATTACTAAATTGCACTCATATATCTTGTCTTAATCAGACTAATTTTCTAGAGCATCCCTCCAAAGTTCTAACTTTGTGTTGACATTGTTTCGAGTCTCATCAATCAAAACTATGTCATATGCGAACAATATGCACCATAATACCTCATCCTGTAGGTGCCTATTTAAGTCGTCTATAACTAAGATAAAGAGATATGAGCTCAATGCTGACCCTTGATATATAATTAGTCACTGAAAACTCATTCGTCTCTCCACTAGTTTGTTCGTACACTAATGAGCGCTCTATCGTACCTATCTCTCACTAAGTCGATGTAGTGTCTAGATACACCTTTTTTTTTTTTGATCATTTGCCAAATCAAATTTTGAGGTACTCTATCATAAACTTTCTTAAATCAATAAAGACCATGTGGATGTCTTTTCTTTTCGCCCTAAACTTCAATCAGTTGTCTAAGTAGAAAAATAGCCTCCGTTACTGACATTTCTTGCATAAAACTAAATTGGTTTTCAAATACACTCATTTCATGTCTTACTTGTTGCTCAATTACCATCTAGAATTTAGATATTAATATTAAATCAAGCTATCTTCATTTTTTTGGTCAAAGATATCATACAGTCGAATGTTTGTAGTTATTGTATAGATCTTGACTCACTTTATTCTATATATTTAAGGAAAAAGTTTATATAAGGTGGCAACCTTAATATGTAGAAATACATATGCACTTCAAAAATCTATCGAAAAATGTTGTTTTAATGTTGAAAAACTGTATAATTGATCATTTCGACATCAAGCTGTATGAATATGTAAAAAAAAAAAATTTGAGTCTCATAAATAGTGCATCTTGCAATACATTATCTATGCCGTCTATTTTCAAGATTTTGATAGGTTTATAGATCTTCTTGATTTTAATCCTTTTTGAAGTTTAAAATTTTATAATTAGATATTAAAATAATTTAAAATTTTATAATTAGATATAAAAGTAGATTTAGAGATAATACTAAAAAAAAGTTGTGCCAAAATTACAGTCATAATAAAATTTGGAAGTGCGCCTTAATTGGATTGTTTAAAGTTGCTGTAACCTATGTTTTACAAATCTTGGAACTTAATGGACTCTAAGAAGAAGATGAAGAACAAGAAGAATAATAAAAGGTAGGACAGCTTGTTTGCGCTTTTGGGACGAACTTCAAGGGTTTGAGTTCTTGATGTACGTCTGCCAAACCGGTATGTCTACCACTGTAACTTCAACTTGAAGAAAAAAAATCTCTTCTAAGAAAGAAAATTTACATGTCTCTAATTTGGAATATTGTATGCTCTCTTTCAGGATTGTGCCCTGTGTTTCTTGTGGGATTTGTGCATTTAATAGGGATTGCTTTACTTGGCCCTGTTCCTCGCAAGCACAGGGATAAGGTTCATGGCTGGCTTAAAGGAGCTCAAGAAAAAGTTAGGAAACTTGTTTGATGCTGATTCAGGATTCCATCATGGCATTGACTTGGATTCTTGCGAATCATACAAAGTAATGTTTACCTTTGTTTACTTCCCTATTTCTCGTGGACCAGTCAACTTTTGTTGCACTGAACGTGTTCTTGATTTGTGATTTCCATTTCTTTGCTTAATTCTTCAGATTTAATGCAAGGACTTAAGTCTTTATAGAATCTAGGATACTAAAAGTCTAGATCTATACCCTGTAATGCTTCAGTATATGCTCGAGGAACTTTCGTTTGCAGGACTATATGCTAATTTTCCTCCTACCCTCATAAACGGGGGAAATAATGGTAATGGATAAGGAATATTCACTAAATAAATATTTTACAGGATAGCCATATCAGGGTTTCTTGGTATATAGCTTTCCACTATTTCATGTGTCTCCTAACATAATTTCATTTGTACCTTCTGCCTGGTTATTATGAAAGTAATTGAGTTTCCAAAGTTTCTCTATTCTTGATTGAAGGGCCATTTACAAGCTACTACTTGTATCTCTGGCAGTATTATTTGAAGTGCAGTGAGACCAGAAAGCAAGAGTGAAAAAAATGCTTAAAAAAAGTGCGGAAAGTTTGTCTAGGTTGAAGAAATCTAGTTGTGAAAGTCATCGACTTTTCATTGTATGCGTTTTATCTGATCCATTTCTCATCTAGTTCCTTACTCTTGCATTTCTTGACAGACAACCTTGAGATTATTAACATTTATCTGGTGCTTGTTTCTCAGCACCCAATGCAGATTTTGTTCCTAGATGTGATGTTTTCTAACACAATCTGGTTTCTTGAAGGTATCAGATGGCGGAACTCTTAACTTACTAAGCAGATCATGTGGAGTCTACAATATCAATGAGCTTGGTTTGCAAAAGAAAACTGGACTGGTGGATGAAACAGATAGATCTGAGAGGACTTATCGTTGTGCGTCGCATGAGATGCATATATTTGGAGCTATTGGGTGCGGTGCAAGCAGTGTTGTTCAAAGAGCTATTCATATACCAGTTCATCGAATTTTAGCACTAAAGAAGATAAATATCTTTGAGAAGGTCTTTATCCTTGCTTCTGCATTGTATTGATGCACATTATGGAATTCTTTGGTTTGTAATTTCTCGGAAAACACGATGACCAATACATACAACTTAGCTGGTTACAAATCTCAATTTAGATTCTCTCGTTGGTTGTCATCCATTTCAGCCCTTTATAGTGAGGCATCTTCCCGTTCACAAATGAAGCACTAAAATGTTGAAGAACCCTGCATTATAAGCTTTTAGGTAAAGGCATTACCTTTCACGGTCAGACATAATAATTATGAAAAGCTTAGTAAAGCATCTGGTCATCAAGCTTTGTGAAGAACAATTGGCACCATTAGCCTATGCTCACAAAATTAATTTCATCGAAAAGTAGTTTGGGAGGTTAAAGCTCTTGAACTGATTCTTAAAGAGAGAACCTCAAGAGTTATAGAGGCTACCTATCAGCCATATCGGCTTGAAACCTTTGATTTTCTGCCCCTTGTACCTTTAAAAGTTAATCAGGTACACTTATATCAGGTTTCTAAGTAGCAAAGCTCACATCACAAAACTCTTTTATTTTCTTTATGTTTTTGGGTGGCTAATCTGGGAATCAAACCTCAGAAGTTAGTGCCACATCCATGAAGCTGAGAGGCTGAAACCATATCACGAAACTTCCCAAATACAGCCCTCATTCTCCTGATGATGATATCTTATGCTCTATGACAAAATGTGAAGATGATGTATTTCCCTGGCCCTTGCCCTTTTGGTGATATCTTATGCTCCATGACAAAATCTGAAGATGATGTATTTCCCTTAAAATGACCTCTTGAACTTCAGTTCAAACTTTAGACCAATCTATTGATGATTATGGAAAAGGGTACTAAAGATACACATGTCGAAATCCATCCTCTGCATCCCTAATCTACATGAGCCTTTGAATCTCCATCAAGAACCTTCACATTTACATGGCCGTCTGCCTTCAGTTGGTTCCATTACTTCTTCACTATGATCATTAGGCACTGACCTTTGAGTCTAAAATCCCTATCTTGGGAGTATCCCACTAAGGATAAACTAATGACTAGTATGCCAAGCAAGGTACACCTTTTTCCAAGCATGGCAAATGGATTTGGAGGGTGATATTGTATAACGTACCCACATAACCGATATTTAAATACCTTGATGTGTTTTGTCCATAGTTGTTGGAGACGAGAGCAGGATCGGTTCGGGAATCGCCGAACCGCCCTATTGCAGAAGTTCCCTGGGTTTGGGATTGATGTCCGTAGAATGGACAAGAGAGGGAACGAGATCCTATATCGATGGGTTCGAGGTTTTGATTGGCAAGGATCTAAACTCCACTACACATTAAATGAGGTTTTCAAGTAGAGCTTTTATGGGTTCCCTTGGTTAAAGGATCGGGGTTTCCGTTTGTCATATAACGGGATTCCTCTTGTTCTAATATCGAGATTCTTCAAGTATAGGAATTAAGGTCCTCAGTTGAATGGCCCCAAGGTTCGCAACTACCATTGGTTAAGGGAACGAGTCCAATATGTATGCTATCCTCTAGTTAAATAAATCTAAAGTTCCCCATTTCTATACATCACATGCTTACATGCTACTTGATAAATGCTAAATACTATTGAACACTTTACTGTATATGTCCATAGTCTATGCTCCAAAATCCAATATGTACATATGAGTGTATGACAACCTCTGATTCAATAAATCCATAGCGCCATATTTCTAGGCATACATGCTACATGATGCATACATGCTACTTGATGAAATATTAAATACTTTAGGCACATTACTATATAATATGTGGTCCACAGTCGTAAATGTAATATGTATGAGATCCTATGTTTAAATAAGTGCATCGAACCATATTTTTATGCAACACATGCCTATGTGCTTGATAAATCTAGAGAGTATGGATTATTTTGCTACTTAGTCCGTGGTCCTTAGTCCAAAATCTAATGTGTATGACATACCCTATTTAATTAAATGCATACTACCAAAATTTGATACATGAGGTGCCTATGTACTACTTGATAAATGCTAAAAGTATAGATCACTCTATTAGATAGTCCATAGTGTACTTATGTACTCGATTCTTCTTATATATACTCCAAATCCCATTAGGGGTATAACTTTAATAGCATAGTCCCTCGGACCACTAAGATATTCCTTATATATAAATCCAAAAAATATTCTACAAGAAATTGGTTTTTTTCTATTATTTTAATCAACATATTTAGATCACCAACATGTACCCCCCCCCACCTTCCCTCTTCCCCTCCCAATTCCCCCTTCTATATTAACCCTTGGACCCAAAACCAGCCCACATAGCTCCTTTGCCATTAGCTTGTGGTGATCATTCTGGTGAATTTGGTCGCTCCTCCCAACTCTCCCACGCTACAAGTATGTGCGCTTGTGCTCTTTCGCTTTGTATTTTTATGACTCTTGTGTGTGCATAAGAGAGATAGAGAGTTGAGTGTGTGTGTGCAGTAGAGAGAGAGAGAGAGAGAGAGAGAGAGAGAGAGAGAGAGAGAGAGAGAGAGAGAGAGAGAGAGAGAGAGAGGAGAGAGAGAGAGAGGAGGAGAGGTAGGAGGTAGGAGAGAGAGAGAGAGAGAGAGAGAGTAGTAGTAGTAGTTAGTTAGTTAGTTAGTTAG